GGCCTAGAGACACAGACGGGTGAGGGAGGGCGGCTGTGGAACCAGCATGCTCGAATTCAAGTCCCGTTGCTTCTGCGTCTTAGTTGTGTAGTCAGTGAGGGGTCTAGTCCTCCCCTCTAGGGTTGCTGAGAGAATGAAGTGGATTAAAAACAAGAAAGGAATGTAAGCCATACTGGGCACACAGTAAGAGCTAAATAAAGCGGCCATCTGCTGCCACTGTTGCTGTAGCATTGTAGATCTGTTTGGGGTGTAGGTCACGGAAACCTGAACCGTGAACCTGCGAACCCGAGGAAGCAGAAGGATGGGTTAGTTGCATTTGGGGCTCAAACAATCAGTTCTAGAATGTTCAGCAGACTGAAGTCTGTAGCCGCCCTTTGCTGAGTCTTCTCTGAAGCTGTGACTCTCCAGGACACCTGTGTGCAGACTGAGTCCAGTCTGGTTTTCCAGGGGAAGTCAAAGTGCAGCGTCGGGGTCTCACGCTCTGCACACACCTCCACTCATGCACTTAAACCAGTACTTCCGTGGGACAGAGGCCACCTCTTTCTACCGGACACCTTGAAAATGTCTAGCCATTTCCTCTTACCCATTACTGATAGGTACTGTTACTGTTTTCATAATCTATTTCCACCTTCTTTATAGAGCAAAGATGGCAAACTACTAAAAAATATTCTCCTGCCCCCTTAAGCTTAATTTGCCTAATTCTTGATAAGAAGCTTATATCAAAAGTTTTGATGCTGACCCAGGGGATATTTTCTGTATGTGAATCTAATACATTTAGCCTACTTCCAAAAGCTCAAGGAAAAGATGAGATTAAAAGATAAATTTAGTTTGATACAAAAAAAAATCTGTGTTTAGCCTTTTCATAAATTTTTGAAGACCTCATCTGCATGGACTTCAAGATGTTTTGACACCAACATGAGCTTATCTTTTAACTCTATTCTCCATGAACGTTTTGAATTGCCCATGCACAGTGTCTAGCACCTCTCACCCCTGTTAATCCTTCATTACGACAGTTGTGTCTATTCCTCTCCTATTATGTTCCAGCCACTGTGAACACCGATTTTCTCATTGCAATGTCCCCAGGACTGAAGAGGGAGATGCTCTTTCCCCCTGTTTCACATATGAGGGAATTGAGGCCCAGGGCACTTGGCACCTCCGCAACAAACAGTGGTCAGAACTGCAGCTTTGGCTCTGAGCTGCCTCCCAGGACTGCTCATTTTCAAAGTGCCGTCAACATAGAAAGGTAGAAAGAAGAAAACAGAAACCAGGCAGAACCCCCTCCCCTCTGTCTAACGAGTAACTTGAAGGCCTCTGATGCCAGCCCATGGGGTTAGTAATAACCAGAGTAGCGTTTGTGAAGTCTCTTGTTACTGCCAGGCACCGTGCCCAATGCGTCACAGCGCTGTCATCCGCTTCGCACCTGAAGCCTCTGAGTGAGGTGCTGTGGCTGTACCCATTGTGCAGATCCGAGAGACAGGACTGGAGAGTAGAAGAGCGGTTACCGGAGGCTGGGCTGGGGAAGGTAGGGAGCAGGAAGGAATGGGGAAGGCTGGGTTACAGGCACCAAAGCACAGGTGGACAGAGGACTGTGCTCCGGTGTCCTGTTCCACAGAGAGTGATTATGGTGAACAGCATTGCAGCATATGCTTCAGCGTGACTCGAAGAGAGGGTTTTGAATGTCCCGTGATAAAGGATCTCCAAATGTTTGAGCGGTGGGTAACCTGCACGCCCTGAGCTGATCATTGCACTCTCCCCACGCCGATGTAGACTTCTTATCTGCCAATTAACAATATTGCTTTTTCACACACACAAAAAAAAGGGTAGCTACTCGAGTCTGCAGAAGAGAGACCCTGACCCAAATCCGGACTCCGAGTGTGGGAGGTTTATTCGGAAGCTGATCCTGGAGCCCTGGGTGGGGAGTGGGGCACACAGGTGGAGAGACAGCCAAGCCAGGTGTCTGCTGAGCAGGTCACCTCTGCGGGCAGCAGGGGCTCCGTCCCACCAGAAGGCAGAGAGCCATGGCAGGGCATGTCCCAGAGAAGAGCAGTGAATGACTGAACCCCGAGTGGGAGCATTCCTTCACCCCACGGCTTCATGACTTGTGCACAAACAGACAAAACCTTCAGGCCCCAGGGTCCAGGTGCCCAGAGCTGCAGGTCTGACCATTCGAACTGAACAGGAGAAGCTGAGACGCAGGTGCCTCTCAAGGTGGCTGACTTCCTGACTCGAGGGTGCGCACCTCCTAGCTGCAGCCAGGTTAAAAAGTCAAGCCCTTGCTTGTTTTAAGTTATCCCAGGGAAAAGTCCCGGCCCCTCTCTGCTCCTGCCTGCCGTGTTTTCTCCCTGGTCCTTCTTGGTGCTCCACCCAGTTCAGCAGATCTGTGTTCCCCATCAGCGGCAGCCATCCGTGAAGGCTCAGCTTCCTGGAAATACATCACGAGAGACAGCTGCATTACCACGTGTTGTTTTGTTTTGCCCATTTGGGGGGACTTGTCCGAGACACTGGCTCCTGTTGACTGCTTCAACGCTGGCTCCAAGTCCGCTCCCTCCCTTCTATTAAAGGCTGGTGCATTACTATTAGTAAGAGTATTGATTTTTCAAGACGAGCCTGTTACTGAACCTATTTAACAGCTATTGAACTTCCCATGTTTAAATATTTACTCTGCATGGTTGCAACCTGTTGGTCCTTCCTCGCCTCTGACGTGGGGTGGACGGTCCGTCTCTAGAACGTCCATCTCACAGCTTCCTTGAACAGAAACCTTCAAACATCATGATAAGAACCCGTATGTTCCCAGGCCTGGGTCTTGAGGGAAGCTGGTTTTTACACAGACTGTCGCTCCCCCATTTTGTGGAGGAACGACACTAAACCCTGCGCTGTTCTTTTGTCTGCTCGGCCCTTCCCGGGTTTGCTGCTGGTTCTTCCCCGGGTTGGCTGCCGACCCCTCCACCTCCGTGGAAGGGCGGCTCCCCCTGCCACTTTCCCCACTTCCGCGGGGGAGCGGCACACCGACGGCCAGCTCTCTCGGGGGCTGTTCAGATGTTATCCGGATGTTCCCTTTAGATGTTCCTGGTGCATGTTGTCTCTCTCCTCCTTTATAGTCCTCTTCCACCAATCCCAACTCTGCTACCCACACGCCGAGCACGCTGCTCTCCTCCAATCAGGAGCAGGATCAGCTCCTGCAGGTTATTGGTTGAACTGGAGGCAGCTGTGTAGAAGTTGTTTACTCCTCTCCCAGCGCCATATTGTGGGAGAGCAGATGCATAGAATAAGTCTTAATTCCAGTAACTTAGTCTAGTCCGAGTTGCTCCCCACAACAGACCTGAGACTTAACATGAGATTGAGATGCCTGGCACGCACCCCAGTCCTGGTGTGAGCCGCCTTTGCCTCTCACATCATTCATTCATTCATTCATTCACAGTCAACTGTGCAGCGAGCTAGGGCCAGCCCACGGAAGGCAAATGCTGATTTCTTAGGTGTGCATTACGATCTGTCATTTGAAATCACTTTTCTCAACCAGATTTGAGACTGTAAGACTGAGTTCCTGGAAAAAGGTGGACCCCCGAGAGACTGGGAAGAAAGGCGATGAGAATCCATCATTGTGTCTTCCCTTTAGTCCAGTTCCCCGCTGCCCCCAGCCTTCTGGGAGTCAGGGTGAGAACCTGGGGGAGGTACTTCTGGAAGCTTGTCTCTCATTCCCAACCACGTCTTCCCTCCGTTTGTTTTCTAAAATTTGAATAGAGCAAGAGGTTTGAGTTAACTGAAAGTTCCCGGTATTTAGGGATTTCTGTGCTAAGTGCAGGTTCTTCGCGTTACTCAGCTCTCCCTAAGTTCCCTTCAGGGTGAAATTCCTTCTCCACTCCCGGTAGCACAGCCTTGCTTTCTACTCACAGGACAAACACAGACACAACCCTCTCTTGTGATTTATGAGCATTTCTCTAGAAAAAAAAAAAGGGAAGGGTTGACCCCTATCAGGATTTCAACCTTGCTCAGAGTTCTAATGACCACAGCCCTCACCAGCCCTCGGGTGCTGCTCCACACGGAAGTAACCATATCTGATGATTTTTAGTTATTAAGTTCAAAAATGTTTACTATCTCTTTCTGATACAACATGTAGTATATTTAAATTTTATAAAGCTCACTATACTTCTATTTTATCATACATACATGGAATAGCTCATTTATTAATCATTTATTATATTTTTAATATTTATTTGAAAGGCAGAGTGATAAGGAAGGAGTGAGAGAGGGAGAGGGAAAGAGAGAGAGAGGAAGAGTGACAGGGGTCGATCTATCTTCCATCCGTTGGTTCACTCTCCAAATGGCCACGACAGCTGGGGCTGGTCCAGGCTGAAGCCAGGAGTCAGGAACTCCAGGGTGGCAGGGACCCACGTACTTTGCTCATCGTCCGCTGCTTTCTCAGGTGCATTCGCAGGGAGCTGGACTGTGAGTGGAACTGCTGGGACTCGAACCAGCACTCTGATATGGGACGCCAGCACCACAGATGGCTGTGTAGCCCGCTGCACCACGCCACTGTCCCCAGAGGCTTACTTTTGATATTCTTGTCTTACTCTTGATTTTGAGAACATTTAAAAATTAGGAAATTTCGTTTTATATACTGCCTTTTGTCCTAACATTAGAAGCATTTATTTTATTTTATTTTTTATTTTTTTGGACAGGCAGAGTGGACAGTGAGAGAGAGAGAGAGAGGGAGAGAAAGGTCTTCCTTTGCCGTTGGTTCACCCTACAATGGCCGCCACGGCCAGCATGCTGCGGCCGGCGCACTGCACTGATCCGATGGCAGGAGCCAGGTGCTTCTCCTGGTCTCCCATGGGGTGCAGGGCCCAAGCACCTGGGCCATCCTCCACTGCACTCCCTGGCCACAGCAGAGAGCTGGCCTGGAAGAGGAGCAACCAGGACAGAATCCGGCACCCCAGCCGGGACTAGAACCCGGTGTGCCGGCGCCGCAGGCGGAGGATTAACCTAGTGAGCCGCGGCGCGGAAGCATTTATTTTGCAAGCCAGTGAAAGCTTTCCAAGCATCTCTGCTACATAACAAGTTTCCTGTAGATTCACTTTTATCCTCCGCTGGATCAGGGATGCCAGGAAGCCATGCAGCTCGTATCTGGCCATGAGTGGGCATTCAGCAAGTGGTGTTGGAAGCAAGCAAGCAAGCCAGCTAGTGACAGACAGTCTCGCACAAACACACGTGGGCGAGGAATCAGTAGTTAGCAGTCTTGGAGCGGGGGAGGACTTTGCAATCCTTTTTGCCAGCGTCCTAAAGGAGAACTTTTCAGAAACCAGCGATTTGCAGGAAATGACGAACTGAGGTGGGCGCTGGGGGTCAGGATGACGACTGTGATGACACGGCCGGGATGACTTCCATCACACTTGAGGCTGTGGACGTCGCACCTGTTATAGGCCCACTTGGAGGGGGAGGACTCCAGTGTGATTTGAGCAGACCTCCACCTCACTGAGAAAGTCAGAATCGCCTGGCAGATAAGCTGTGCCGTGCCAGGCAGGGCGGGCTGGATGGGGGCCCCACACCCCTTCTCGGGGAGCTTTCTTCTTGCTGTTTTATGCAGCCTACTTTGAATTTATGGAATGCTGTGGACGGCCTGGGATCATCTGTCTGACCCCTTTCACTTGCTAGGCAGGAACACTCTCCCAGTTAGCCTCTTGGTCTGCAGATAACATCACTCTACTCCGGCTGTGCAGTTGTTGGCCTCTCTTGACTTCCAAGTTGGTTCCTTATCTTCTGCACTCCTCACAGGCTGTGGAGCCTGAGAATTAATTTATGGGGCTATGAAATGTGCTGGCCTTATCAAGGGATTTTATGGGTTAATGCCCTCACACTCCACCTCCCTTACCTTCAGTCTTGGGGATGGTGTTTACAGTGCGGGTTTGAACTTGAGGGAGGGGCCAGGTAGGAAGAAGGCAATTAAAAGACTCCCAGTTGCCTGAAGACCTGTTTGGAGCAGGTAAGACTTGCCCAGGTGTGGGCAGAGGGCCCTTCACCCAGAGCCCTATCTCTGTGGGGAGATAAATTCACAGTTAATAAAGATAAGGGCCCTAGAGAAGGGCCCTGAGCCCGGACTACATTGCCAGCCCAGCCCAGCTGATCAAAGCCAAGTGTGACTAATTCTCTCAGAGGGAAATACCGAGGGTCAGAGAGGGTGTCACAGTGCTGGTGAGGAAAAACCCAGCATGGGTAAGAATAGCTTTGAACCCTGCCTCTTTCACTCACAGGGCAGGATCTGGGGCAAGCGCACTTCGCTCTGAGTTTCCACCTGCTGGGCTTCCATGTCCTCTGTTTGAGGGGTGGGAGGAGGGACTACAATAACTTCGAAAAGATGTCATGATGAGCCAGGGCCAGGTTCCAGAAATGTGAATTCCCCTTTTCCCTCTTCCTCCCTTGGACTGTGCCTTTGCTGGCAAATTGATCTGTTGAGCCTGCACCATCCATTCAGTAAGTCACTGATTCATGCAACGGGCATACGAAGCACCTACTAAGTGTCAGAATCCGGGGGTGGGGGTGGAGAATCATGCAAAGCTGTCGTTACTGTGATCTCCGAGGGAGTGAAAATGTAACCATACCAATGCAAACCACATTAAACACTTATTAGGTACAGCGTTTTTCTTGTATTTGTTCATTGAATACTTGTAGCAGCTCTCTCAGATTTCATTATTTTGTAAAATTTTATACTTATTTAATTTGAAGAGAGAGAGAAAGAGAGGGACAGAAACTCCCATCTGTTGGTTCACTCCTCAAATAGCCTGACATACTATATTTTTTTTAAAAAGATTTATTTAAAAGGCAAGGGAGAGCCGGCAACGCGGCTCACTAGGCTAATCCTTGCGGTGTCGGCACACCGGGTTCTAGTCCTGGTCGGGGCGCCAGATTCTGTCCCGGTTGCCCCTCTTCCAGGCCAGCTCTCTGCTGTGGCCAGGGAGTGCAGTGGAGGATGGCCCAGGTGCTTGGGCCCTGCACCCCATGGGAGACCAGGAGAAGCACCTGGATCCTGCCATCGGATCAGTGCAGTGCGCCGGCCGCAGCACGCTGGCCGTGGCGGCCATTGGAGGGTGAACCAACGGCAAAGGAAGACCTTTCTCTCTGTTTCTCTCACTGTCCACTCTGCCTGTCAAAAAAAAAAAAAAAAAAAGGCGAGAGAGAAAGAGATCTTCCACCCACTGGGTCACTCCCCCGAATGCCTGCAACAGCCAGGGGTGGGCCAGGCCAACTCCAGGGACCAAGTGCTCCATCCAGGTCTCCCACGTGGGTGGCAGGGACTCAGCCACAGGAGCCATCACTGCTACCTCCCAGTGTGCACATCAGCAGGAAGCTGGGATCAGGAAGAGAGCCAGGACGCAGACCTGGCCCCAGGGTGGGTGCAGGTGTTTCGAGTGGCATTCTAACCATTACACCAAATGCCCGCTCCTGCAGATACCACTGTCAGCCAGTTTGCTGCTGGGGAAACTGAGGCCCAGAGTTGATGAATCACCCCAAATTCCCTAACTAGTAAGTGTCAGGGTGCAACTGGACATGTAATCCTCACGCAGGAGACCGTTGGGGCCTTAGAGGGGCACAGTTAGTTGTCTGCATTGGAGACTTAGTCATCTGGGGGCTGTTGGTAGAATCTAGCTGACTCAGCTGTTTGCTCCACGGACCAGGAGGGTTCACGTTACTTGGAAGCGGATTAGAATTACAGAATCTCGGGTGTAGCGGGTTAATCGGCTGCCGGGATGCCCGCATCCCACACTGGAGTGCTAGTTTGAGTGCCAGCTCCTCTGTTTCTGATCTGCTTCCGACCCTGCTTTCTACTATGCCCTTGGGAGGCAGCAAATGATGGCTCAAGGGCCTGAATTCCTGCCATCCACATGGGACACTTGGATAGCGCTTCTGGCCCCTGGCTTTGTTCTGGCCCAACCCTGGCTGTTGCAGGCATCTGGGGGAGTGACCCAGTGGATGGAAGATCTCTTTCCCTCCCTTTGCCTTTCTATGGAAATTTACCCATCCACTTTTCTTTTCTTACGATTTATTATATTTATTTGAAAGTCAAAGTTACACACACACAGAGAGAAGGAGAGGCAGAGAGAGAGAGAGGTCTTCCATCCGCTGGTTCACACCCCAGTTGGCCGCAATGGCTGGAGCTGTGCTGATCCGAAGCCAGGAGCCAGGAGCTTCTTCCAGGTCTCCCACGCGGGTGCAGGGGCCCAAGGACTTGGACTATCTTCTACTGCTTTCCCAGGCCACAGCAGAGAGCTGGGTCAGAAGAAGAGCAGCCGGGACCTGAACTGGCGCCTATATGGGATGCCAGCACTGCAGGCGGTGGCTTTACCCGCTACGCCACAGCGCCAGCCCCATAAATAAATCTTTTTTAAAAAAATACAGCATGTCAGGCGATTCCCCTGACCCTTTGAATCAGTACCATTTGGTGATGTCCTAGGGGACCTGTGTGCCCATTGGAATTTGGAAAGTGCTGCTCTGTGTGAATAAACTCTCCTTTCAGTGGTGTGTTTAAAATCACAACGAGAGGCTGGCGCCGCGGCTCACTAAGCTAATCCTCCGCCTGCGGCGCTGGCACCCCAGGTTCTAGTCCCAGTCAGGGCGCCGGATTCTGTCCTGGTTGCTCCTCTTCCAGGCCAGCTCTCTGCTGTGGCCCAGGAGTGCAGTGGAGGATGGCCCGAGTCCTTGGACCCTGCACCTGCATGGGAGACCAGGAGAACCACCTGGCTCCTGGCTTCGGATCAGCACGATGCGCCGACCACAGCACGCTGGCCGCAGAGGCCATTGCGGGGTGAACCAACGGCAAAGGAAGACCTTTCTCTCTGTCTCTCTCTCTCACTGTCCACTCTGCCTGTCAAAAAAAAAAAAAAATCACAACGAGAAAGAGCTCATATGGACCTGGCCACCCAGGCAGTGCCACTGTGCAGCCTCGAAGTCAGTGGGGTGGGGAGCCTATGGGGCACCACTGGACTAGGTTGAGCAGCCTCACCTGGCTTCAGACCCCGGGACTCTGCTACTAGCTGTGTAGTCTTCACCGCGGCCAGAGCACCTCCTGCAAGGCTCCCTTAGGAAGCAGGAAGATCTAGGGCCCAACTCATTGCCAAGATCTGCAGCAGGGCCTGCGACTCTGCATGGTTAATCACCTTCCCGTGGGTTCTGGGGCTGGGCGTCCTTGGGTATCACGTGGTTTGAAGAACACTAATCCAGAGCCACCATTCCTGCCCCGTTTCTTGCAGAACATAACCTGCTGTGGACACGGACAGGGTTAGGGTCACTTCCTGGTCTAACGCAGCTGTCTCTCTTACTGTCAGAGAAGTACCCTGTGATGTAATCGAGTAGGATGCCGTGCCACGGTAACCATGGTAACCATGGATCTTTCAGGGCGTTATAGGGAGGGTCACTGACTCCTGCACAGAACCCTCCAGTGGCTGCCTAGTCACTTGTGCTCCTTACTGTGGCCTTGAAAACCTTACATGATGCGTCCCTGGCTCCTCATTGAACTCATTCCCAGCCGGCCTCTCTGGACTCGTGCAACGTTTGCCTCGTTGGCTTCCTTGCAGTTCCTCAGACCTACAGACCAGTTCTCCCCTGAGGGCTGCCCAGGGTTTGGCAGATACATCACAGTTCAACATCTCCTTCTCAGAAGCCATGCACCCTCCGCTGTCTCCACGGCCCTCATCAGTATCTGCAGTGACAGGAGTCACTGTTCACGATGGGTCTCTCCGTTGGACTGTCCCTCTCAGCCTGGCTCCATCACACCCGCGTCCTCGGGACCAGGGGGAGACCAGGCCCACACAGAGAGCTCCAGACCAGGTGCTGAGTAAACGAATGACGGATGCAGGAACCTAGCCTGTATTTTTAAGAATTCCCAAACTTCAGTGATTCAACTATTACAGAGGAATTATGTGTGTTCCATTGCGACTTCACAGCTCTACTGCACATTTAGCAAAGTTAGTACGTGTGCCTCAGCGGCTGAGGCTTAGGACGTTGGTGTCAGTCGCTGTTTCAGGACGCCACAGTGACACCAGGCGTCACATTGACACTAGGTGCCACGGGATGCCCAAGATTCGTTTTCCTTCTTTGTTGAGCATTTGTGGCACTGACAGACGTTTAAATACTCTTGGGAGAGTCGTACCACCACACTGGTATCTTTCAACATCAAAGAACAAACATGAAATCAACCCCTCACATGCGTTCTGTGAAGATCTATAAAGAAATTATTCTTTTTGCCCCAAGCTCACAAGGGAAATCCCAGGAAGGAAACAGAAAAAGTGGCTTTTTAAAGAAATAAACCCAGCTCCATGTTTCTGTGAAAGGCATCTCCCGAGGTGATGAAGTGAGAAGCTGGATTATGAGAAATATGTCTTGCTGGGCACCGTTTTCTCTTGAGTCCAGAAAGGGTCAAGTGCAGCCCCAACAGCATCCAACAAAGAGCCTAGAGCTAAGTGTTGACTCTAAAACCTACTTAGGGCCCTACTGCCCTAAGGTTCCGGAACTTTCTCTGTCTCAGGCAGTGGAGGCTTCTGAAGGCCCGGGTGGGGTTTGTGGTCTTGTCCACAATGAACCTCTTTGGGTTCATTCTTGCCCTCTCAGGGCATCTCCCCTCACATCTCATGATTCATGAGACCCTCGCCCCAGAGCGCTGTGTTGAAGAGAGGGGTGCTGCCTGTCACGGAGCCCCCCCCCCCCCCCAGCTCCTAGGTGCTGTTGTGCTCTGACTGGTATTAATAATTGATTTATATAGCACCTTTTACAAGCCTGCAAATGCTGTCTATAGTCAGCCCCCTCTGTGGACACACGCATCACTCCACTCACCATCAGATGATAAGCTGCCACCTCATAGCGGGGTGGGGGGAGGTGGCAGCAGGCGCCAGTCACTTCAGTGGCGCCAACGACATGACAAGGAGACAGTTTGATTCAGGAAGTAAAGCTGCGTGTTATCTCCTCCAGCTGGGGTGAGGGAGTGGGTGGAGGCCATGCTGGGCCTGTTATTAATAAGTCGAAAGATGCAACCTCTGAGAAGCCAAGGAAGCATGTTCTGACCATGGAGCAGGGACTTCTAACCTTGGGTGCTGAATCAGCCCAGTATAGACATGAGAAAAAAAAAGCAGTTGATGAGAATAAAAGATCAGTGACAGAGACGGGGAACGGCCAAGGCATTTGAGTCACCTTAGCACGTGGTGCCAGGGCTAGATGCCCTGTTTACTCCACCAAGGTCAAGTGGAAGGTGGAGGTGGCCATTCCAAGTCTCAGGTCATTGGCCTCCATGTTTTCTGGAGCTTCGGATACTCGGCTTGTATCTTGACTAGTGTTTGAAGGGAGCTGAGGTCTTTCAAAGCCCTGGTATGGGATAATCCTGCAGTTCTGCCTGTTGCAGTTCGAGATCTTCACCTACTTGTATGTTTGAGAGGATCATTTGCCATATAGTTTAAGAATGTGAATTTTGCTTTAAGTCCATTTTCTAGTGGTCTTCAATGAGGTCATTCACTTAGGGACAGGTTCTGCACTTAGCTGGGTGTCTCCGCTAATCTCAGTTTCCCCAATTGTAAGAGCACCTACTTTGTAGGTGTAGAGCCCAGTGCTGCGTGCATCATATGCTGTCTGCAAAGATGAGTTCTTTATTATTTTATCATCATAACGTTCCTCACTGTGCCCATCATCATCATCTTCATCGAGTGTCCTTCTAGGAGAAGCAGCAGCAGCAGTTGCCCAGGGCGGAGGGCCGAGACTCGAGAGAGCAGCTCCTGCATTTGTTCAGAGTCTAGTGTCCCCCCATCCGGGAGGCCCCTGGGGTAACCCAGACTCTCCCAGGCGTTATACCAAGCTCAGGAGCCAGTCAGAACTCTTGGGTGGCCAAGTGGAAGAACTCAGAGACCAGGAATAAAGGAGCAGCTTCCAAAGAAAGCAGGCAGTGGCGTTTGGCCTGAGATGAGGCAGAACCGAGGCCCCTGGCAGAAGCATCCAGATCAGAATTTTCCAAATCCATTCCATGCAGCTCTAGTCCACTGACTGCTTCATGTGCCGCGGACCCAGAGCAGCGTGGCCAATTAGCTGAGGGGCTGGACATGCTCTTCCTTCCTCATAGAGAGTCACGCATTTTATCCACACAGTGAAAGCTTGGAGAAGGCCTGTGGTGAGGAAACCCATTACATTTGCTTCACTCAGTATTTCCCTGGCCCATTTTACTCTTAGACTGTCTCGTTTATTTTACTTTAATTTTTTTTTTGTAAAATAATCGGTTAATTCCCTGAACATGCTCTTGGGAAGATTAATTTAGACCAAGAGAATTTGGGAGAATAGTCTTTTCCAAGACCGGAAAAATATATAGCTTTTTAAAAAGTCCATGTATTTCTAATGCATAAAACCTGAACATTTTGTTTTAACTTATAGACAGGCTCACTACCACTTAAAAGTTTCTGCTGTTTTACTTGAAATTGTCTGCCTGAGACTTTGTAGCTATTATTTTTTAAGTCATAGATTGATTTGTTTATTTGAAAGTCAGATAGATAGATGGAGCTCTTCTATCCACTGGTTCACTTCCAAAATTCCCACAATCGTCAGGGCTGGGGGAGGCTGAAGCCAGGAGCCCAGGACTCAGTGTGGGTCTCCTGCGTGAGTAGTGGGGACTCAACTATTCGAGTCATCATTGCTGTCTCCCGGGGTCTGCATTAGCAGAAAGCTGGAATCGGAATCAGGCCGGGCCTTGACCTGAGGCACTGATTTGGGATTCAGGCATCCCCAGTGGCATCTCATCTCTTGCACCAAATGCCTGCTCGGGTGGCTATTGTAAATGGCTTTTGTAAAGGAGGAAGAGTGGGGAATAGCTGCGTTCCGCATTTGTGATAATATCAATAATATTCACGATAATGCCAATCCAGTAATAACAACACTGTCTGCCAATATGGCTACCGTTTATGCAGTCCTGTCTGTGTGTCTCCTGTAATCCTCCGAAGAGCAAACAGGGGCTCAGAAAGGACAGGCAGTTGGCCCCAAGTGCTGTCATTAGAAACTGCCGGAGTCAACACTGAGATTCAGGACCAATCAGAGCGATCCCACTGCCCTCACGTTGCCTCCCCCACAAACACCTGGTCATTCTTTATTCCTACCCACGTCCTGGATCCTGTCGGAGTGCCTCCAGGGTCACACCTGCCCTCAGGAGCCAGGGCTGTGCTCAGTAGCAGGAAGTCCTGAGACCCAGAACACGCCTGGTCTTTCCAGTGCTGCTGCTTAGAAGGCTGTCGGCTCCCGGGCCGGCTGTGCTGTGGCTGGATGGGAACAGGGCTGTCTCTGGGGCTTTGTCACATGGACCTTGTCCCCTGTGCCAGTTGTGGCTGTGTGCTGGCCAGAGCTTGCTTTCAGTTTTGGAGCTCCCACTTGGGCACACACGAGCACTCAGGAGATGGAGGGACCGTTCCAGTTTGCCCAGGACGACCCTGCTGTTAGCACTGGGAGTGTCATGACGGGAAATTCCTTGGTCCCTGACAATCTAGGGACAACAGGTCACCCTAGACAGGGTCTGTGGCCCATTAGAGATTGACAGGCAGGAGCCGTCTAAAGTGAAAAGGAAGTTAAGTTCAGGGCCTTCACAAATAACCAGGTTTTTTTTTTTTTTTTTTTACAGGCAGAGTTAGACAGTGAGAAACAGAGAGACAGAGAGAAAGGTCTTCCTTTTTCCGTTGGTTCACCCCCCAAATGGCCGCTATGGCTGGTGCTGCGCCAATCCGAAGCCAGGAGCCAGGTGCTTCCTCCTAGTCTCCCATGGGGTGCAGGGCCCAAGGACCTGGGCCATCCTCCACTGCACTCCTGGGCCACAGCAGAGAGCTGGAGTGGAAGAGAAGCAACCGGGACAGAACCAGCGCCCCAACCGGGACTAGAACCCGAGGTGCCGGCGCAGCAGGTGGAGAATTAGACTAGTGAGCCATGGCGCCGGCCAAATAATCAGGTTTTACAATGGTAAAATGTAGCTGAAAGTATCAAGATCCATTCTGACTATTTAAAAAAATCCTCACGTTTAAAAAAAATCCCGGCAAAGTCTTCTTCATTAAATTCAGCACTGTCCCAATTAAATACAAGTGCTTTTTAAAAATACCCTCTACTCCTATTCCTCAGTAAAATATTGGCACCCACAACAGCTAAACCTCCATGGGTGTCTGTGCACGCCAAGCGCCCTGCTCAGCACTTGACTTCCAGCACTTCATTAAACAATGCTGTAAGGTAGGAGCTCCTCCCGTGCGCAGTTTGACAGACGAGCAGACCGAGGCTCGGCAGAGTTCACGTCTAGGAGGTACCTGGTGCAGGTAGCTGGGCCCCAGGCACCACCTGCTGTTTCCTCTGGGAGCTGGTACTGGGCACTGTGTGAAATCATCATATTTGACTCTTAATCATGCCAGGAATAAGATTCCTGAGGGCAGCTTCTGACCATCACCGTGCCCTAGAGAACCTGGTATGGGGCTGTAAACATGGTAGATAATAGATGCCCATTAATGTTAGCTGTGTTAGACTGAAGTAGAAAACTATTTCTTTACACAGCAAAAAGTATTTTGCCAAAGTCTTGGTGTATTTGAACTGGGAAGTTTTTTTAATTCCTCTGCCAGAATAAAAGCTACTTTAATAAGTCTGACACTGTATTGGATTATAAGCTCTTATCTCTCTCTGATACACATACACATGTAAAAATATACACATATAGGCCGGAGCCGCGGCTCACTAGGCTAATCCTTCACCTAGCGGCTCCGGCACACCGGGTTCTAGTCCCGGTCAGGGCGCCGGATTCTGTCCCGGTTGCCCCTCTTCCAGGCCAGCTCTCTGCTGTGGCCAGGGAGTGCAGTGGAGGATGACCCAGGTGCTTGGGCCCTGCACCCCATGGGAGACCAGGAGAAGCACCTGGATCCTGCCTTCGGATAGGCGCGGTGTGCCGGCCGCAGAGCGCCAGCCACGGCGGTCATTTGGGGGGTGAACCAACGGCAAAAGGAAGACCTTTCTCTCTGTCTCTCTCTCTCACTGTCCACTCTGCCTGTAAAAAAAAATATACACATGTAATATGCATCGTGCATACACATATGCAATAATACTATACATGCATGCACACGCAGAATTGAAAGGACAAGCCTGAACTGCTATTCACAGCTGTATCTCAGCTCCTAACACAGTGCCTGACACATAGGATGGATTCAGTATGTATTAGTTGATTGTAAGATTGAATAACTATAACATGGCCAACAAGAAAACACTGAGAGCTGTGTTGTTTCTATGGAAATTTCCCCATCCACATTTTTTTTTTTATATTTATTGTATTTGTTTGAAAGGCAGAGTTACACGCACACACAGAGGGAAAGATAGAGAGAGAGGGAGAAAGAGAGATCTTCCATCCACTAGTTCATTCCCTAAATGGCTGCTATATTTGGGGCTAGGTCAGGCTGAAGCCAGGAGCTTCTTCCTGGTCTCTCACCTGGGTGGCAGGGGCGCAAGCACTTGGGCCATCTTCCGATACTTTCCCAGGCACATTAGCATGGAGCCAGATGGGAAGTGGAGCAGCTGGGACTTAAACTGGCGCCCGTAAGGGATGCCAGCACTGTAGGCCACAGCTTAACCCATTATGCCACAACACTGCCCCCATCCCCAACCACTTTTTAAATAACTTACAAGTCTTGTCCAGGTCCAGCAATGTCACTATAGAGGCTGGGCTACCTCAGCTATGAGGATATTGTCTCTGAGCACCTGTTTCATAGTAGAAAAAAAGCAAACACCATCTATCTGGGAATTGGCAGCTCCTGAAGATTTAGGTTTGGCTCACAGGAACTATCAGTAGATAAAGAAATCATCAGATAATAGCAAACACATACATAGCACTTTGTGCCTGTCACTCTGGAGGAATGTCACATGTGATTAGCCCAATTACACTTTGCCACAACTCTATGAGGTCGGTGACATTTAATCCCCAATTTGCAGATAAGAAGACAAAGGTACAAGAGTTTACATAACTTGTGTCAGGTCACAGATCTGTGGCTTGAGTTCAAGATTCTAATCCCAAACCCTATAAGATTAGGTTAAGATGTCCTGTAACTTGCAAAGCGAAGGTTGGGGAGCTGACCGGTGGTCATTCCCATTAAATGCTGTTCATTGGTATTTATTGCACAAGGGTTGATAGTCCCAAAAAACCAGGATTCATATCTCAAAATGGCACAAAAATATTAACAGTCATCAATATTCATAGTTACTGTGGTTGAACAATGAATACATAAGCATACTCCAAAAAATTTTGTGGAAATTGTAATTAAAATATAAATTTACTTTGATGCAAACATTTTTTGAAATCCACACGCTATTTTTTCATTTACATTTTCCATGGAGTTTTTGAAGACCCCTCCTCAGTGAGATGCCTCATCGACATTTATTTGTTGGCACAAGGAAGTAGTTGTCTTTTTCTCCCCATTCTATAAAAGAGGAAACTGAGGCCGAATATGAGAACATGACTTATCCAGAGAGAAATCGTTGAAAGACGTGGAGGTGGGATTTGACCCAGGACTTCCTGAAACTCATGAATTAGCTCAACCACTGGTGCTTTATTCTCTTAGAAATAACAGGGGAAATCGGGGCTTACTGGTTGAGAATTCCAGAAAGCTGCAGCCGGGACTGCTTCTTCTGCTACACAAAAGGATGGCTAGATCATGAGGGAAATTAGCAGCGAAGCAATGGATCATACCATGCTCAGATGGGCTAGAACGTGACCCAGTTTCCCACTCTCTTCCGAATCTGGCAGGCGATCCACAACCCTGAGTTGTGACTTTTCTCCCCTGCCTCCCTCCGCTGCCTTTGACCATTTCTTCTTCCTTTTCAAGATAGCTGAAGTTATCACAGCCTTCGCCGGCGCCAGGGCTCAATAGGCTAATCCTCCGCCTGCGACGCCAGCACCCTGGGTTCTAGTCCCGGTTGCTCCTCTTCCAGGCCAGCTCTCTGCTGTGGCCCGGGAGTGCAGGGGAGGATGGCCCAAGTGCTTGGGCCCTGCACCCCATGGGAGACCAGGAGGAAGCACCTGGCTCCTGGCTTTGGATCAGCACGGTGCGCTGGCCATGGGGGCCATTGGGGGGTGAACCAATGGCAAAGGAAGACCTTTCTCTCTGTCTCTCTCTCTCTCTCACTGTCCACTCTGCCTGTCAAAAAAAAAAAGTTATCATAGCCTCTGCCAAATCTCCCTACCGTTCCCCAAACACCACCCTTTCAACTTTAGTAGGCACACTGTGTGTACCTCGGTCTCATCTGGTTCTAGTCCTCCTGGCTCTCAATTTCTCTAGTGGAGAGGAGGGACATTAGATCTTTGAGATGTTCTTCACACACAGTTTTCAAGATCAGGTCAAGTTGGGAAGCCGTGTAAGTCTATTCAACTGAGGGAAGTTTGTAATAAAGGCACTGCTGGGGATGCCCACCTCCCATATCAGAGTGCCTGCTTCGAGTCCCGGCTACTCTGCTTCTGAGCCAACTTCCTGCTGATGTACACACGGGAGGCAGCAGGTGGTGACTCAAGTGGCTGAGCCCCTTCCATCTGCTCGGGGTTGAGTTCCTGGTCCTGGATCCAAGTACTGCAGGCATTTGCGGAGGAGCCAGCTAATGCGAGCTCTGTCTGTCTGTAGTCTATGTCTGTCTCGCGAGATGCCTCTCAAATAACAAGCAAATAAAAATGTAAAACAAAAAATACATTCTCAAAGAGACATTCACAGAATAAGGAAGGAGAGATCCTGCAGTAAAGAGACCAGATCGTGCCCTTGACCATGGGATGCTTCTCCCACCTAATCCCAGCTTTTCTTAGGCAGCCACGGGGGTCAGTGGGGAACGCCATCACAATTGTGTGTTCAGGAGCTCCTTCTCCGCTTGGCTGAGTTCTCAGCTTTCTCTGTCACTCCAGATCTCCAGCCTCTGTGCCTGTCACCGTTTCTTGTGCTGAAGGCAAGTCCCAGCAAACTGAAGCATAGGCAAAGCTGCAGAGAGACTCTGGACGGGAAGTGGATCCTCCTCACCGCCCCTCTGGGCATCTGGCACCTGCACGTGGTCAAATAAGGCGCTTCCTCGCCATCCATCTCCTTGCCATCCATTTGGGTGCCCCCAGGATGCGATCACTCATGCAGATCGTTAGTGAACTCATTTCTTGCTTTTTTCCTAAATTCCTAGACTCGACCTTTTGGAGCCATCTCCAGATTGTTCCCAAGGGGGATTTTCCTTGCTCTTGTAAGTTGGAGATTTATGTTCTTCAGGCGGACTTTCCCTGGCTTAGGCAGATCTGAGTTGTGGGTGTTTTCCTTCAGGCGGAAGTGTGTGCTGCAGAAGATATTGGAGCAACTGCTGTGCAGTGAGAGTTGCAGACACGCTCTAACCTACAGGGCGTGATTTGCAGGTCAGTGGGGAGAGGGGGAAAGTTCCTGGTTTCTGGAATCAGAACACCTGGCCCCTCTCTGCGTCCTTATCCACAGAGTGGTGACCTCTTGAAGGAGGCTGAGAAGGCTCCTGTCCCTGTCACTCATGCCTCGTGGAATCCTGAGGTCTGTCCCTGTGGCCAGCGCGCTGCGGCCGGCGCACTGCGCTGATCCGATGGCAGGAGCCAGGTGCTTCTCCTGGTCTCCCATGGGGTGCAGGGCCCAAGCACCTGGGCCATCCTCCACTGCACTCCCTGGCCACAGCAGAGAGCTGGCCTGGAAGAGGGGCAACCGGGACAGAATCCGGCGCCCCAACCGGGACTAGAACCCGGTGTGCCGGCACCGCAAGGTGGAGGATTAGCCTAGTGAGCCGCGGCGCCGGCCCTGTCCTAGTCTTTCTCCCCTTCCACCTTCTCATCACTCCTGGTGCTTTTATTTTATTTTATTTTTTGGACCACATCCCTTCTTCACCTGTTCCAACTTAAAAACTTTGTTTAAAATTTATTACACTTGAGAAAGAGGGAGAGAGAGGGAGAGGGAGAGAGAGAGAGGAGAGATCCTACCCTGTCCTCTGTTTTTTGTCCCACATTGGAGTGGCCTGAGGCTGAAGATGGGAGCCAGGGATCTAGCCTACGTTACCCGTGTGGGTGGCAGGGACCTAATTACCTGAGCATCACTGCTGCCTCCCAGTATCTGCATTAGCAAGAAACGAGAGTCAGGAGCCAGGGCCAGGAATCAAACCCCTGTACCCCAGCGTGGGACACTGCGTCTTAACCACTAGGCTGTTCCACCATCTAAACCAGACATCTTTCTTTTATTCACTCGCGCTCTTTCCTACATATTTGGGGTCTCCTGTGAATCCCCCTTTTTTTTTTTCTCCTTAAAGCAACTCAAGTTCTGTCTGTTTTAAAGACAGACTGATCTTGTACCTGTGGACTTTACTGGGCTTAGTTAAAATACAGGGAGTTGAGTGGATCCAGCTGTCAGCAGCCAGGGCTCTGCCGGACACATGTCACGGCATATGTTTCAGGCGTTTGTTCCTTCTATTTGGCGTGATATTGATGATTGAGATAACTTAAAGCTACAGTGTGCGTCACTCGATGCTAGCCCTAAGTAGGTCTCCGTGATTCACATCTGATCACTTTTCACAGAAGAAGTAAGATAAAGAACATCAAAACAAGCAACAAAAGCACAAGAAAAAGGGACCAAGAAGAAATAAAAAATAAGGGCTGGGAAATCACCAGTATTGGATGAAGAAGCTTAAGAGGTTGTTCTCTGATAGACAGATTTGAAAAATGAATATTATTGAAAAACTTACCAAAGAGAGAAATGGAGGGGGTGTTTGGTATAGCAGTTAAGACATTGTTTGCGATGTCCCCATTACCTTACCAGAGTGCCTGGGTTTGAGTCCTGGTTCTGCCTCCAGTTCTAGCTCCGGTAACATGCAGCAGGTGATGGTCCAGGTATCTAGATCCCTGCCATGGGAGGCCTGGATTGAGTTCCCACGTTCCAGCAGCCTTTGTGGGCATGTGGGGATGTAGGGACCAAGGGCTGGACTTGCTCCCTCTGTCTCTCTTTGACTCTTTGCCTTTCAACTAAAAAAAATTTTAAAGTTTTTGGAGTATAACTAAGTAAAAAAAAAAAAAAACAAGAAAATGAAGACACTTCAGTATGACATCAGTTCTGTCTCAAGGCTGCCGCTTCGATGCGTTCATTCCCATTTTACACACGAGAAAATGAAAGTGTATGTCCAACGTGCACATCACAGTATCTACATCTAATTTGGGAGTAATGTGAACAGACCTCCCCATTGGCTTGTCCAGTCCCCGTTTACCTCTGTCGTCTTGGCGTGACGAGTGTCCCCTCTGGTCTGGATGCCACATTACATCACCACCTGTTAGAACACTGGAGGCTTCCAGCAACAAGAAGATGAGATGTTAGGGACTTCATAGTCCCCCAGACCTAGAGATGCGGCTCAGACAGTTCCCGGGTTGAGTAGTCCACTGCTCAGACCTTCCTTCTCTCTTCTCATTCCTCAGCCTCTTTAGGTTGGCTGTGCTGCTGCTGGGCCTGCGTTTCAGGGTCACCGTCTCACACACCGAGGCTGAAGGCAGCAGAGGGGCCGCTGTGCCCATGCCTCTTTACAGACTGCAGAAGCCTTCTAAGCAGCACTAGCAGATGCCTTCTCATGGTGGGGTCACGTGTTCCCTCTTCAGCCAATCACTGGCAAGGAAATAAAGTCCCATGATTAGCTCTGTCCAATCAGGATTTCTCTTTTAATCTCAGAATAGTTTTAAGCTTACAAAACAAGGATGGTGAAGAAGTATCAAGAGTTCACAAAGACCTCACTCCAATCAGGATTTTTTTCTCCCCAGGCGACACAAGGACAATGAAGGAAAAGCTGGGCTCTTCAGCAAGTGGCTGCTGGACAGGTGTAACAGAGCACCTGCTGCAAGCTGGGAGGCGGTGAGAGGCCAGCGAGGCTTGGGGAACACGGAGGCCAGCATTTCCACCCCCCAGCCTCGCGCCCCCAAAGACTGTGCCCGCCAAGAGGTGGAGTCTGCAGGTGGGGAGGTGATGGGGTCCCTGTGGAGAGGAAACATCAGCTCATATGAGAGGACATCAGAAAGCTCATGGAAAGTGAGCATTGTTAAAAAAAAAAAAACCAACTATGCAAGGCCTTTATTTTTGTTTTGCTACACAATGAGCGTATCTGTTAATCCCAGTTTTCCATCAGTATTTCAAGGTGCCCCTTAGAGCCGTAGCAAAATAATAAGGCCTGAAGGAAGACACTGAAGGCATTTGTGAAAATTTTGGAGAAAGATGGGATTTGCAGGAGTGGACATTTGGCCTAGCAGTTGAGACCCTGACTGAGATGCCCGCGTCCCACAGCAGAGTGCCCGGGGTTCTGCCCCAGCTCCGGACTCCAGCTTCCTGCTCATGCAGACCCTGGGAAGCAGTGGTGATGGACGCAGTAACAGAGGCCCTGCCACCCACGTGGGAGGCCTGGGTGGAGTTCCCAGTTCCTGGCTCTGGCCCTGAGCCAGCCCAGGCTGTTGTGAACATTTGGAAAGTGAACCAGCAGAAGGGAGCTCTGTCTCTCCTACTAATAAAAAAATAAAAAGAAAGTGGCTTTTGGGCCACGTGTTAGAGAGTGAAGGGGAGTCTGCCCTGTAGCTGTTGGCCAGGCCCAGTGAAGAACACTGTGGCTCTCGAGCTGTGCATATCTGGGCTTGAGAAAGAGCCTGCTGAATCCTGGATCCTGCCCGGCGCACGGCAGTGGGCAGTGATGGAGGCTGAGGCTGGAAGGGAAGCAGCACCACTTCCTGGAGGGCGGCGAGCCTGCCAAGAAGGGGGCGCTGATTCTCGGAGAGTCACTGGGGTGGGGGTGGGGGGTAACTTGGAAGTGGCCAGACTTGCCCCTCGCCGCCCTGAGGCAGTCCTGTTAGCGGGGAGTCCAGACTTCCAGGACCGACCTTCTTGTTCAGGGCTGGAAGTGCCAGCTGGTGAGATGTAGGAGATCCCTCAGGGGAGGAGCTGCCGCAGGAGAGGAACCTCTCTTTGCTCCGTCTCTGTATCCTCAACACTTTGAGGCAGAGCCTGCTGTTATGTTCAACGCAATTATTTTGTTTGTCTTCCCCGGGCACAAGCTATGTTACCTTCCCCAACGTCGCACGAGTTGAGTGTGGCATGGCCAACATCAGTGACGCTAGCGAATGCCAGACCTGGCCCCTGAAGCCTCCTGTCTGTTCCCATTCGATTGCCAAAGGAAGGGCACTCTAAGGACGCAGAGGAAGGCGCAGGTGGAGCCTGGAGCCCCGTGTGACTGCAGGGAACACAGCCCTCGGCTGACTTGCCCGGCGCTTGGTGTTGAAGAGAAACAAACTTTCACGGTGATAAATCCCTGAGACTTGAGAGTGGCATTTGTTACAGGGGATCGTCTACCCGCCATCATCCTTCCCAGGAATCCACGCACCCCTGAAATACCTGGGAAACAGACAGAACAGCGGCTGGAGACAGAGAAAGCGTGTCGCAGTATCAGGGAGGGGAGCAGCCTTGGAGGGGCTTCTGAGGATCGCTGCCTGTGAGGCAAGGACACGGGAGTCCTGTGTCACCTGGCTAAGGTGACTGCTCTGTGGAATCACGGCTCTACAGCCTGAGTTGCAACTTCACAGAATAATTTCGGGAAGGTTTCTGGAGTTGGTAGCTCTTGGCCTTATAAATATCTGTAAAAGGGAAGTGATAATAGTGTCCACCTTGGAGAGTTTTTTTTTTTGCGAGGATTAAATGAGACAGTGCTTTTAAAGCACTTTAGCACAAGGCCTGTCCAATAAGACGGAGGCTGCTGTTCGAGTAATTACTGGTTCTTATTGACCTTCCTGTAAGCAAGGACTGGACAGCGAGAGCCCTTGGTTTTAGAAGGCATTTCAGGCTCAAGGGGCTGACATCAGCCAGAGGGGGGGCAGGTTCAGAATGGAAAGAGAGCTTCCAGGGACAGTATGGGGAGGGGACCCCCTGTTGGGGGAGTGGAGGGGGTGCAGAGGGGTGAGGAAGACTACAGGGGCAGGGGAGGGCAGATGAGGTGAATGACAGGCAGCAGCAGGTGCAGCAGTGGCTAAGCGCCCTTCCCAGCCCACTGTCCACTTCTGCCCAGACGGGACCCGGATGGTTCCACTGCCACCGGGCACGCATCTTTGCAGCCCACTGGCGCCTGCTCCTATCTCCAGCACCATTTCCAAAAAGCTCAAAGGGCTCTCTGGAAGTTATCTGCTCGCTTGACCCGACAGCCCTGCATTATCACTCCCATCTCACAGATGGGAAAACAGGACACAGGGAGGTAAACCTGCTCACCCGAGATCAGAGCGCGAGGCAGCGGCGCGCCTGTAATCACATTCTGGATTTCACCGCCGCCGGCCCCCTCTGCGCTCTGCCAGGCTAGCTCCGGGCTGGGTCGCCGAGCAGTCAGCATTTCTTTTTCCTCTCTGAGCGTCACGAAGCATCCAGATCCCGCATGTAATTCAGTTATTAGCTGGACGCTGATCTTGGACAAGAAGTTTGGTTTACAGACTCAGTATTCTCTTTGGAGCTGGTGGACACGCTATCCTTTTGTTCCCGGCATCTGTTATAAAAACATTCAGACAGATAAGTTGAAAGACTCTTAGTGAATACTTATATACACGGCGGCTAGATTTTACAGTGGACCCTGGGTTTTATTTCACTTTATTTGCCAAACTGCTAAGCAGAGGTGAAGAGCTTTTCAATGATAGTCAAAATAAATGAGGCTATTAAAAGTCTTTTTAAATGAAGAAGAAAAGATCTGAAGCGAATTTTTGGTCTTTCAGCGCTTCACCAGTAGACTGTAGTATTTGCCTCCGAACTGAGATTACAGCAGATTTCAAGAATGTTTGCACAGTGAGAATGCATCCCAGCATGAACCTTTAAAATAAAACGTCAGAGTATTTCACCAGGTGTGTGGAGTGTTAAAAAAAAAAGAAGATTCACCGCCCCCACCCTGAACAAAGCAACGGAAAGCGGGGACCTGAAGCAGAGGGATCTGAAGCCTGCAGTCTTGGAGTCAGGTCCCTCCTCTGGGGAGATAGAAACTGCAAGAGCACAAGCTTGGAGGGGCCAGGAAATCTTCAGATCAAGGGCCTTCATTGATAGAGAAAGCCCAGAGAGGGCAAGTGGCTTGTGCGCGGTCGCACAGCAGAGGTGTGTCAGCCACAGTATCAGAGCAGCGCTCTCCTGCTAGGGTGGAAAAGCACCTGCTCCCAGTCTCACCATCCCCAGGGAGATAAGCACTCAGACAAGGAGCCTTCCTTGTGATGCTGCCACCGGAGTCGGTGCCAGAAATATCCCTTCTGGGCGGTTTATGGGGAGAAAAACATTGGTTGGGCAAAGGGGCTTGGATGCGGGCCTGAAAGCTTCCTAAAGCCCAGCCGCCGGCCGGGTTCCGTGCCCAGCTGCTGCGACCCTGACTCCAGCTCGAGAGCTGCCCAGGTCCGGCCGGCAGCTTCTGAGACCCCTGGCGGTTTAGGGACCCTGCCGCTGTTTCCCCCACTGCTTCCTCTGAAATTCTGCAGGCGCAAAGGGACTGTGGTGCCACTGGACCCCTGCTTGCCCCATTGGGGCGACAGAGGCACCGGCCCAGGTCCTGTTTGGAGAAACTGAGGCTCTTGGGCAGTCTGGGAGAGGGCAGCTACTTAGCTTCTCCTCCCCCCACCCCCCCAAGGCCGGAGGGCAGGAAGGAAGCGGAACCTCATGTCCCTGCTCTATCAGTTTGTCATCTTTGGCCTGTGCAACCCAGAGAGACTTTAATCTCTCGGGCGTCAGTCGGGATTCTGTCCCCTGCACTAAACTCATTTAAGGGAGGGGGTGTGTATTAATAATGAAGATAACCAAACAGCCCCGGCTGTGATATTCCCTGACCTGCCCCCAGGCAGGCCTTAATGACTGTTTGTGAAGTGCAGGGAGAGCCCCAGATGAAAGCCTCCCAGGTGAGCAGGGCCCTGCCCACTTGATGTCAGGACACCTGCAAGCCAGCCGCCCGGGGGGTCCAGCTGTTCCTGTTCCAGCTGGATCCGGAGGCCTGACTCTGGCATGCAAGGGCGAGGGACTCTGAGGCTGGGGACAGGGGACAGTGGGCGGGGGCAGGGAATGACTCAGAGGGGGAAATGGAAGGCGGAAGATAGGGAGAAGGGAGGAGAGCAGTGCTACTGATTCAGGGAGAGGCAGAGGAGTGAGGAAGAAGACAGCGCGGAGAGCCGGGGACGCAGCCAGAGGGGCCGGGAGCGTGCAGAGACCGGCACCTGCGCACCCGGCTGAGCAGAGGGGTAGAGGCCAGAGACAGACACTGGCAAGCCGGCGACTTTAGGGACAGACTCAGCATCTCCCCGCCCCCCCGCCCGCATCGTCCTCCTCCCCCACGCCCCCGCGGCTCTTATCAGCGGAGCGCGGCGCGCGGGCGGCCTTGGGCGCGAGGCGGCGGCGGCGGCGCGGCCTTATTGCAGGTGCGCTGGCGCCGCCGAGTCTGCGGCGGCCGCTCGGTGGCCAGCCCGGCGGCCCGGGCGGGTGGCGGCGGCAGGCACGGCGCGAGCGGGGCCGCGAGGGCGCGGCCTGGCTTCGCACGCAGGGCGGCGAGGGCCGCACGGCCTCGCGCCACTAGCCCTGGCCCTGGCCTTGTGAACTTGCCCCAGCCACCTGCAGTGGCGAGGCAAGCCAGCTGGCTGGGGAACCTGCCACCCTGCCCCGCCCCACCCTGGGGCTCGCAGTCCACAGGGACAGCTACACAAAGCTACTGCTAGGGAACAGCCATCTGGATGGAGATCCCTAGAGACCCGTCATTGCCACTGGACTCACCCGTTCTTTGTCTTTGCTTTGCTGGAGTTGGCAGGGCCACCTGGCCCTTGCATCTCAGCCTTGCGGGGGTTACACCAGCTGTGGCCTCTGCTTCCTGTGCCTCCGTTTGCCCCTCTGTGAAATAGGGAGAATGAAATGCTGGCCTTGTCTCTTGCCAGCCACGGTAGCTCAGGGTACCCCTGCACAGCCGGCCCCTACGGTAAACCATGGCTGTCTTTCCCCCAGTATGCCTCACGTGGGGCAGGGTGGCTCCAGGCTCCTAACTGGTACTGACAGTCTTTCCACTTGCCCAGTGTCTTCTCTGGGAGACGGCCATGGGAACAGTGGCTCCTGGGAGTTGCTGGGAGGGCGGACTGGGTGCTGCAGCCGGGGGCTGAGCTGCAGGGCTGCCTGGGGGCTGGCTGCAGCGAGGACAGAGGAAGAGGGTCTCAGTGTCCAGCTGACCCCTGGGGTGTCAGGGCCCACGTGGAGCCCAGGCCACCCCAGCCCGCGACTGAGCCTGGCAGAGCTGCAGAGGCCCAGCCGTTCCTGCCTGGCACTGACCTGGAGTTTCAGGCTCTTCCTGCCCCGACCTCCTTTCTCCCCCTTCCCTTTGCACCTGCCAGGCCTGCGTCCTGACGGGGGTCCCCCCCCCCCCCGCCTCTGCCTGCTTCTGAGCTCCTCCCCCACCCCTTGAGTCTCTTGTCCCTCCTGCTTCCTTTGGGCATCTGCCTCTCAGAGGACCCAGACAAATGGTACGGATTCCTATATGGGAGTCTTTAAGAAGTTCCTTGGAAATGTGTGTTATGAAAAAACTATGCATGGATTTCGAAGTTGTTTGCACCAAAGCAGATTGGTATGAATTGCCCTTTCCTGTGAACTTTTGGAAGCACCCTGTGGTGTTTTTCACACTTTTTATTCTCTGTCTGCGTGACAGGCAGAGTGGACAGTGAGAGAGAGAGAGAGAAAGGTCTTCCTTTGCCATTGGTTCACCC